ATGAAAACAGTTTAGGAGCTATGTGAAGTGTTTTAAAAATAGCAACAGAATTTGATTTGCCTTATCAAAACTGAAGAATCCAACAAAATACTGTGAACATAATTTTTTTTCTTCCGATTCTGTTTTCGGGCCAGACCCAGAAGTGCACAAGTTTAGGAAACCGTGTAGCTAGAACCAGGCGGGGGTGGGGGTGGAGGGTTCCTGCATGCCAAGTGTGTGTTCCAGCCCTCTTGCCCCAATATAGTTTTTTGTTTTGAGTATCCATGTCCTTTCATATGACCTAGATATTCCACTTCTTATTTCTATTTCCAAGTGCAAAAAACATTAATTCAAAAAGATATTTGCACTCTTTTGTTCCCTTTTGATCCCTGTCAATGCATATGGACCCCCAGCACTGCCAGGAGTGGCCCCTGAGCACCACTGGTGTGGACCTGCTGACCAAAAAAAAAAAAACGTGGAATAGACACATATTGGAATACGATTCAGTTATAAGATGCTATCTTGCAGTTCCCTGAACCTATATAGTTCACTGAACTATAGCATACGTGCTGAATAAAATGAGTCAAAGCGAGGACAAATATTAAATGATATTTCTCATGTGTGGAATATAAAGAAACAGTGAGTGAATAAACAGTGGCCAACGAAAATAGACCTTGAGAATCTGCCAAGTGAACTGAGTTTGCTAACTGAAAGGGGCCGGGGCTGAGAGGGGACCAAGAGGCAGAGGTAGTGGGATGAGACTGCGGTGGTGGAGGCGGTACAAGGAGATTGTTTCCCAGCACCACCGGTGTGCCTCCCCCCAAAAGAAACTGAGACAGACTATGTATTATGAAACCAGGGAATGTAAAATCTTTTATTGATTTTAGAGAATATCTGCCATTAACCAAAAATGTTTGGCTCGGGGGCTAGAGCAATAGTGTAAGACATTTCCTTCACTCACGGGATGCCAGGGCTTGAACCCTGGTCCCTCGAGCACTGCCAGAAGTGATCCCTGAGTGCAGAGCCAGGGGTTAGCTCTGGGCACTATTGGGTGTGGCTCCAAAACTTAAAAAAAAATAAAAAGGGAGAATTGCCAGATTTCAGGGGTCAGAGAAATAGTTCAACTGGCTGAGTACATGCTTTGCATACAGAAGGCCCAGTTTTAATCCTCAGATCTGAAGAATCGTCCAAACACCACTAGGCATGACCCCTGGGCAGAGAGCTGGGAATAACCTGTGAGCACTACTGGGAGTAGCTCAAAACAAAAAGAAAAACGGAGATGCCAGAAATTTACTATGGAGGGAAAAAAAAAATGTATTGCCACAAAAAAACAATCCTACGATGTAGTGATTTATAGCACAAAAACGGATGCAAACCTTAAGGAGATATACCTTAAGGAGATATACATCCAACCAGACATTGATATTTAAGAGATAATGCAAACCTCCAAGTTGGACGGTATTGTAGGACAGGAGATACTTCTCATGTTTTAGAGCCAAAATAATCTGCTTAATGTCAAGTATGAACGATCATCAAAAAATTCCCACTGAAGACTGCCTAAGAGTATTATTTATGGCTGTTTTGGAAAAAGGGGGAAACTTCTAGATTAAGTTCTATAAACTAGAGCGTTCAAGATTTGCAAATAGCCATATTTGGTCCCTCAGTCTTTCTATACAAAGAGAAACAAGGCAGTTAGGGTCAGATGTCTACCCAATATTGCTCTGACTTAAAAGCTTTCTAAAGTCTTACAAGTTATCTAAAGAACAGTTATCCCAGGGTGTCAGAGAGATTAAGGTGCTTGCCATGCATAGTCCAGTCATTTGATCCCTGGCAGCAGGAGCAGCCACTGAGCATCACTGGCCTTGGGCCCCTACCCCAATGTACGTGCATGAGTAGCAGTGGGGTTAACAAATTTATGTTGTATGTGGCTGTCCTGGTTCTATCCCAGGAACCTCATTCAGTTTCCTGAATGCCATCAGCATAACCCCCAAGCACAGAGCGGCACAGCCCCTGAGCACTGCTGGGGAATATCCAAAACTGTGTATCCCCAAAGAATAGATCTCAGAATGAATATAAAACTAGGAGGGGACTGGGAGAACCAGATAACCATATTAGGCAAAACACAGCTCCTGGTAATGGGTTTGCTTGTTTTTTTATATACATACCCATGGCCAACAGGTCCTTAGCTGTGGAAGTGCATTTTCCTGACCCTAACTATAGCAATAAATCTAACTACTCAAAACCGTAACAGTTACAAAGCATTCACTATCATGTCAGACTCTGCTTATTTATTTACATCTTGGCTAAATTAGCACTTCTTTAATAATAGTTAGGCTCTAAGTCCAAGGAAGATTATTTAATCATTTTAAACTCATTCCATATGCTGGTGAGCTCTAATGACATTTTAATGTAACGAAAACCAGAAAGATAATATTACCGGCAGCACACTTCAGAAACTCAAACACTAGTGTCCTTAGAGACAAGCAACTGTAGCACCAATATAAACTATTTTCTGAAACCCATATTCAGTTCACTTGATACAATGACAGTGAAAAGAGCGTTCTAAGCAGACTCCACTTCAGCTGGGAACACACACAATAAAAGACAATAACTTCCTTAAGAGAATCTGGGTCGTAAAGCTGAGTTGCATTTCTGAAGAATCACGGATGTTCTATCAGGTATATAACATGTGCAATGCATTTCTTCTGATATGAAAGATAAAATAGGAAAACAGGTGTCCTCACTGTAATCTAGGGCAGGTCTGTTAGATTACTAATGCAGACTAAGGACGGGTAAACTAATAAAACTCTATGTCAAAGCCAAAATGAATTGCTGACAGATAAACTCATCAGATTAATATTTACCACATTAATGCCATTAATTTAACTGTAAAGTGGTTTGTAAAACAAAGAGTATATCATAGCAAGTTTCATTTTACTAATAAACCTGGTCTAATAATTCACATTAGAGAAAGCAACATTTGATTTTTTTTTTCTTTTTGGGTCATACCCAGCGATGCTCAGGTGTTCTTCCTGGCTCTGCACTCAGGAATTACTCCTGGCGGTGCTTGGGGGACCATATGGGGATGCCCGGGATCGAACCCAGGTCAGCCGTGTGCAAGGCAAACGCCCTGCCAGCTGTACTATCGCTCCCGCCTCAACATCTGTATTTACTAATAAACACTAACCAATCATGAATTTTAATTTTAATGCATATCATGGTACACAAAAGAAGATCCCAAAGAATTCTCCTGTATTTTTACCTTTATGAGTAAACTCTTACACATCTTCAGTACATATTAAACAGTACCCTGCACAAGCCTGAAATAAGACCAACAGGTCCGAGCTTAAATAAAACAGTTGAGTGTGTACTTCTTTGTCACCTATGCTTTTTTCCCCAACTACTTTTCAAACATCTTAATGGGACAAACAGTTCAATCCATCCCTCCAGCGTTTTCGTCCTCCTAAAACAGCAGCTCGGCAACCCAGGCATCCGTGATTCACTAACTCCAGACACACGTGCGTGATTACAGGTGTTTATTTGAATGAAACAGCAAACTGCGGACCCCTGTCTCTGACCGTTTTATTCCCGCTGATAAAAAGCAACAAAAGGCCAACAAACCGCCCTCCGTGGGCCAAGAACAGGTCCCCACGCTGGAACGTGATTTGAAAAGGGGGAGGGGCGGGGGTGCCCAAGCGAGGTGAGCGCGCAAGAAGGACGGCTTCCCCGGCCTCCCGAGCCCAGCGCTGCCCGAAGCGGGCCGAGGAGTGGACAGTGCGACAGCTGTCAGCGCGGGCGGGCGCGGCGGGGCACTACCCGGCGTGGGGGGAGGGAGAGGGGAGAAGTCCCCGCGCACCACCCCGCAAAACCCCGCGGGATGCAAAGGCCCCCAAGACTCAGCTGCGAGCCCCTCGGTTCCGGACCCCAGAAAGCAGACGAGGGGAACCCCTGAACTGCAAGGGGGAAAATGATACGAGATGGCCGACCGGCACTAACGGGCAACGCGCCGTGCAGAAGAGGGGGCGCCCTGAATGCTAGCAGGGGGCCCCACACGCTACATCACACACATGCCCAGAATGCAAGCAGGGGACCCACACGCTACATCACTCACAACACACACACACACACACACGCCCAGAATGCAAGCAGGAGACCCACACACCACATCACACACACTCTCAAACTCACACACGCCCAGAATGCAAGCAGGGGATTCACACGCTACATCACTCACAACACACACACACACGCCCAGAATGCAAGTAGGGGATCCACACGCTACATCACTCACAACAACATACATACATACACACACAATCCCAGAATGCAAGCAGGGCAGGGGACGCACAGGCCACATCACTCACAACAACACACACACACACACATGCCCAGAATGCAAGCTGGGAACTCACACGCTACATCTCACACAAACACACACACACACACACACACACATACACAGACCCAGAACGCAAGTAGGGGACCCACACGCTACATCACTCGCAACAACACTCACACATAAGACAGGTCCAGAATGCAAGCAGGGGACCCACACGCTACATCACACACACACACACACGCACACACGCACGCACGCACGGGCGCTGCGTGCAACAGGGGCAAACTGAGGCGGCGGGAGGGGCTGCAATCCCCACCTGGACCAGGCCCCAACACCCCCAAGTCCAGAGAAAAACCGGCTCGGCTGGCACGGGGCACGTCGGAGCGGGCGGGGGGCAGGGCGGGCAGAAGGATGTCCAGGAGCTAGCGCCTCCCCAGAGCGGACACCCACCCAGACAGGGGGAACCGGTTCGGGCAGGGGCCGCCCGGGCCCGCGCATGCGCCCTCGCCCCTCGGCTCCCCCTCCCCCCAATCTCGGCTCCCCTCCGAGCCCGGCTCCGGGGGAGATGAGCGCCGGCAGGCGGGCTCGCCGCGGGGGCCGCCCGCGATCCCACCCCCGCCTCCAGCCCCTGGGCTTCGGTGGATAGGAGGGGGGAGGAGGAGGAGAGGAAACGCGGCCCTACCCGACCCGCGGTCTCCTCCTCCGCCGCTCGCCGTCCCGGAGGCTCCGCCGCCTGGGCCTCCCCAGCCGCCCAGCCCCCGCCCTCCCCGCCCCCTACTCACGTGAGAGCGGCTCCTTCCGCCCGACGCCCCGCCCCCGCCCCGTCCCATTGGCCCGCGGAGAGGCCGAGCGTCCACATTGGCCCGCTACCGGGCGGCGAGGGTGGATTTCCTTTCCTCGAAGCCCCGCCTGGACGCTTAGCTCGCCCGAAGCGTCTGCGCCTGCGCGCGCTCTGCACCCTGGTCTGGACCTGCCTGCTGGGTGCAGCGCTGTGGTCACTGTGTGCCAGGGCAGGACAGCAGTGGCTGTGTAACTCCTCCGCGGGGCCCAAGTGTGGCTGACTGGCCGGGGTAGTTCCTGTTGAATCTAAGAGGGACGGGGTGGGGGTACCACCACTGCAAAGAATGCCAAAGCAAGAAGTTCCCCTGCTTCACATTCGAAAGCAGCAGGGAGCAATGTTCCTCGCTCAGCTCAACAGGCCTTTCTTTAGGGCCCGCGAATGTGCTAGGCCCTTCAGGACTATCTTGCGGGGCTTTGTCCCAAACGTGTTTTTTTCTCCTTTCAGAATAGTGCAGCTCAGAAGAAAAAGCTTCCAGCTCCCAGACCAGGGGTCTCAGGGAGCTAAGACAGGGCAGGGCAGAGTGAAAAGACGGTTTTAGAGTTACTTGAAGATGAGACGGAGATTTTATTTAAGATTCATTTAATAAAACTTGCAGCCCTCTCCTAGATGAAGTTTACTTTGTTCTTGGCCCGGGGGAGGGGGAGTCTCTTTAATAATTTTAAGGCTTACTAAAATTATAATTCTGCAACCTCTTCCACACTCGTACCTTTATCCAAATGAAATGCACTCCTTTACTGGTGAAATGAGTCATTCACAATGTTTTCCTGTGCATACTGCATCCAATTCAGAGGGGGAAAGCTGCACTCTGTTGCAGTTCTTTTTATGAGTTGTCCATTACAATAGATTTGGCTTCTTTCCCACAGGAAAATGACTCTTCCTTCTCTCCTTATACAGTAATATAATGCACACCCATTTAAAAACATTCAGATAGAAATCATAATCCCTGAAATGGTGAAACCCTGAAAAAAATAACTTGACAATTTGGTGGCTATATTCACATCTTAATTCATATATATGGCATCCAAAGGTGTAATGTAAGTTTTGACAAAAATTATTTCAATGAAATTTTTTTACAGAATTAATAGTTTCCTTGGAAATGGAAACAATGGTAAGTAAAATCATCACATTTCCACCATAAATGGTAAAATGTTAATACACTCATCTACATATTGTTCCTCAAAAAAAAAAATCAATGTAGTAATCTGCTTCATGCAATTAATTATATCTACCCTATCATTTTAGTATTTTTACTTCTGGCTTAGCCATACTAATAATATCATTAAGTAAACTTTTATCTAATATCTAAAATAGTTTATATAACACTATAAAGCTGTTTTTACTAAGCATTCAGAACTACATGTTACATCTTGTAGTTAGGTCACTTAAGTATTCCTAAAACTAGCAGTTAAAAAAATTATACAATGATTTATTGAAGTCACCTGAAAAGCAGAATTTCCAACCTTCCAGTCCAGCCGTCTTGAGTTTGGACCTCAACCAGGGTTTCCCAGGCAAGCTATACCGCCCTCTAGAGGGTGCTGTAAGGACCCTGGGGGATGGTTGCAACCAAACTTGGATGAAGTTGATTTTTTATTTGTTCACTTAAAGAAGGCAGATTTCCTGTAGTGAGACTGAGTAATTTTTTCTTTTTAGCTTTGAAAAGCAAGTGGTAGGCTAAATAATTCTGGACACCTTTACTCTAGACCTTCCATTTTCTGGGAACTGAAAATGATCTCTTAAGGCTCAACCTATATATTTTGGCTAGTTCACATCCAGGGTGATAGATACTTTAATACTTCATGCTTCATTAGAAAAGATTCACTATCATAAACACATTAAAAAAAAAGAAAAGACTCACTATCAACAGCAATACTACTGTTGACTCCTTGATTAGCGATGACAGGTTTTATCAGAAAGTCCATTTTATCTTTATTTTTGGAGAGGGTATTCTAAGAGATGCTTAGGATACCTGGGAACCCTACCTGGGGACTTGGCTCACGGGGCAGGTGATTCAATGCAAGGGTTGGTCAGAGGAAGCTTTTGACAGATGCAGCAGTGCTGCTGGTGGGAATCAACTGGGCAACACCCAGGGGTGCACAGGGGCCTCTAGGGCTGCAGTAGTGCCCAGAGATGCTTCGGTGACCATGTGGTGCTGGAAATAAAACCAGGGTCGGCTGTATCTGAGGGATCTGACTTAACCCCTGTACTATCTCTTGGACTCCCAGGAGTCAATTTTAACAACCTATAATATATATAGATATAATTATATACATACACCAATTCTATATATTCTATCCACATAGCCAGTCACAGGAAAATAATTATGATTAACTGTTCAACTTTTGGGGCCAGAAAGATAGCACAGCGGCTGAAGCGATAGCACAGTGGGTAGGGCATTTGCCTTGCATGTGGTCAACCCAGGTTTGATACCCAGCATCCCATATGGTTCCCTGAGCACCGCCAGGAGTAATTCCTGAGTGCAGAGCCAGGAGTAACCCCTGTGCATTGCCGGGTGTGACCCAAAAAGAAAAAAAGGAAGAAAGAAAGATAGCACAGTGCCTTTCATTCGACTGACCTGGATTCAATCCCCAGCATCCCATATGGTCCTCTGAGCACCGCCAGGTGTGATTCCTGAGTGCAGAGCCAGAAATCATCTCTGAGCATCACCATGTATGGCCCCAAAACCAAAACAAAGAAACAAAATCCAAACATGTTCAACTTTTTATTGTAGTCAACTTTATACTTTAGTACATAGGGTACATAAAGATCATAGGGCTGTTGTTAGGTAAAATGATACCATAAGCTTGAGATGGAATGGGAATTTCCCAGAGTGCTGAAACAGGTGCCGGAGAGATTATACAATGGGCAAGGTGCTTGTCCTGCAAGCAGATGACGTGGGTTCAATCCCCAGCACTTCACATGGTCCCCAGAGCTCCTTCAGAAATGACCTCTGAGGGCTGAGTCAGGAGTAAGTACTGAGCACACCCAGGTGTGGCCCAGTACCTCCATTCCAAAATAATGCTCCCCAAAATGAATAAAATAAGAACAATTAAGTTCACGCTATAGACATCAGGCTGTCGAGGTTTTCAAGTACAGAGACAATAACAAATTTGGGATGTTGAAGATCTGGTAGTAGAGAAGTGCATGTATCATATGAAGAAGAACCAGTAAACCCTGAGCACACCCTCTTCCCACCCATATACAAAAGAGGTCAACAAACTGAAAAGAAAAACCTTTGTGCTTTTGGCAGCACATATACTAAAAAACTGGAACAATAGGGATCAGCATGGCCTGTGCACAGAATTGAGATACAAATTCATGAAATATTCCACATTAAAAAGAAATGTATCTTCAAGTCTGCCGATTCTTGCTTCTTCCTAAAATCCTATTTTTAATACCTGGAGTGACTATGTTACTGACCTTTACAGCTCCAATTTTTTATTTGACTTTTAAAAATAATTTCTCTTTAATATTTCCATTTTTTTCACAGCTCACTTTCCTAACTTTATTCACTTTTTATTATTTTCAAATGGAAGTAGACATTAGGTCTTACTCCATATGTGGCACCAGGGATCAAGTTAGGGCCAGACACATGCTAGGGAAGTGCCTACCCCTTCACTTTTGGATCACTTTTTGCTTGTTTGTTTATTTTCTGAGCCATACCAGTCAGGGCTCATTCCTGCCCTGTGCTCAGGCATTACTCCTGGAAGCTCACTCGTGCGCTCAGGTATCACTCATGGAACACATGTGGTGCCGGGGATCAAACCTTCGTCGGCAATTCTACCACTGTGCTCTATTGCTCTGACCCAAAACCGTTTCTTTTTTATTTTCCTGGTTTTTTTTTTTTGCTTTTTGGGGTCACACCTGGCGATGCACAGGGCTTACTCCTAGCTCATGCACTTAGGAATTACTCCTGGTGGTGCTCGGGGCAACATATGGTATACTGGGAATCAAACCTGGGTCGACCACGTGCAAGGCAAATGCCCTACTCGCTGTGCTCCAGCCCCAAAACCAGTTTCTAGAAGATCAACATAATCCTGATAACAAAGTAGACAAGGACATCTCTCTCTCTCTCTCTCTCTCTCTCTCTCTCTCTCTCTCTCACACACACACACACAAGGACATCTCTCTCTCTCTCACACACACACACAAGGACATCTCTCTCTCTCTCTCTCTCTCACACACACACACACACACACACTGATGAATATAGCTACAAAGATTCTCAATAAAGTGTTAACAAACCAAACCAAATTCAACAATACTTTAAAAGGACTATACAGGCTCTGCAGAGGATAGGATGCTTGCTTTGCATGCAGAGACTAGGGTTTGATTCCTGTTCCTCTAATCCCTACCAGTAGTGATTCCCAAGCACAGAGCCAGGAATAAGCACTGAGTACAGTTGGGTGAACCCTAAACATGAAAAATGAAAAACTATACATCATGACCAATGGGATTCATTCCAGGGATGCAAACTGACTTAATATATATAAATCACTTAATGGAATATATTAAAACCAATATAAGGAAAAATAAACATCATACAATCCTATCAATAGGTACAGAGAAGACTTTGACATCCAGAGACTTTGACATTCAACATCCAATAATGATAAGAACTTTCAACATTATGGGGACAGAAAGAATGAACCTCACCAAAGGAAGGACCACTCATGACAAAACACTGCTAACATACTCAATGGTGAAATAATGAAAGCTTTCCCTCAGGATCAGGCACAAGGATGTCTACTCTCAACCCTATTATTCAACATGGCACTTGAAATCCTAGACAGAGCAAGTAGGCAAAAAAAGGAAATATAAGGGTTCCAAATTGGAGAAGTAGTAAAATCATCAGTATTTGCAGATGATGTGATATATATATATCACTTCGCACCAGGCTGTTTTCACTTGGGGTGCCCCAGAG